TTTTCTACACAAGATACTCAACATTCATTGGCCAGACACCATCATCAACAGCCTTCTGTGGCAGAGAACCAACCTGGAGTCACACCCGGAGTCTTCGACACGAAGGTCTGATTCACAAAACAGTGGACCAATGTCAGGAGATTCAATCCCATGTTAACTGGTGACCAACAATTGGTTCATACCCCATTTGTCTCTTCAGGATTTTGGAGCCAATGTGCACCATTGATTTATAATCAGGATTTCCCAACTCCCCTAGGAGGTTCCTCCATATCCACCGATCGATGGAAGCTTCAGACATTCGCTTTTCATCCTTTCGATTTCGCAAATAACACTCCTAGTGCGAGAACGCAGTGAGTGTGACTTATCTGGCTTTGGCTGTATGCACGTGTCCATGTAAAAGCATTTAGCGAAGTGGAACTGACTCTCCCCACTCTCGAACGTACGAGGGCTCTTGAGAGCTAATTTGATCTAGAATGTCAGTGAAAACTTCATCATGAAACCTTCCAATTTAGAGAACGCAGATAGATGTGTGGAAACTTTTAGTAACAAAACACAATTCTGTTTACGGCTATTTCTTTTATTCATACAAGTAACCTGTAAGCACTTGACGGCCGTCCATATCGTGCATATCCAAAACCTAGCATGTGTGACTCGAACCCAGTATCTTCGGTACTAGTTAAGTGGTTTCGGTGGTTGAATACTCGCGCGAGACTGGAGTTCCTGTGCTCGAGTGCTACGTGTGAGATCGTGGATGCGCATTGCCAATGTGGCTAATACTAAAATGAAACGTTCATTCAGTGCTTACAAGTTTTCAATGAACGTCTAACATTGACCAATTCATGATTTTAATAAATTTTCAATAATATCGGATAGTTTCAAAAGTTATTTTCTAAACAGAAAGGGGTTTTATGAAGATTTTATTATTTTAATAGTTGAATTCATGATTTAAATAATGCTAGACCACCATTGAAAACCTGAAAGCACTGAACGGCTGTTTCGTCTTAGTATAGGATTCCTCGACAATGTGCATCCACGATCTCACTCACGGGATTCGAACCCAGGACATATTAGTTGGTAATATTATTAGATGATAAGCATTTTTCATATTTACGTCATTTCGAAAAAAAAAACAAAACAAGAATAGTGATGACATAAGCCCACATTTATTCTAAACAGTAAATAATCACTAAGGAGAAACCAAAAAAAAGCAAACAAGCAAACTGATGTATGTAGGGAGATGTAGTGAAATTTCGTCTCGTGGGTGTTTCTCAAAAAATAAGGCAAACTATCATCAATATCTAAGTAATATAGTTTACAACATTTAGAATATGAAATCAGTAATCGATCATATTGTTATCCGTTTTTGGTTTAATCCTAAGCAGGGTTTAAGTGGCCGGTGATCTGACCCCAGTTAAATCGTTTCTGATTTATGATAAGTCTTGCTAAATTGAACGCTATATTCGATCCCTAAGCTATTCTCGTAACCCCCCTCCCTTAAGGTAGAACTACATAGTGACCTGAATACGAGGGAAACAGCGCGAAATGTGTAAGGAACACTTTACTCCAAAGGTTCGTTCTAGTACAGAAAATACAGGGTTTTCCCAAAAATTCTAGAATTCTACTAAACATAATGGCAGTATGAATAATCATCCAATCAGAAACGCTCTATGTGACTTTTCACTTTCTTGATGTTTCTGGTTAAACTTCTAGTGAATGCCATTCGGATAAAATGTTTCTTAGTGTTATCTGAGTCTTTCGTATCTTTTGCGAGACGTTTTCTGGATCACACCAACAGATTACTATGGTGATATACATATCGCCATTCCTCGTATACAATGATCGACTTAGATCGCTTTCATAAATAACAGAATTGAATAAATCAAATACGAGAATGGATTTCCTCAATATACATATTTTATACAATCATTGATCTTGTCAGGTGATCAGAGGGATGAATCAATGACAAGAAAGCGAAGCGAAATCATGCTCGGTGAAGAAGGTGTGTAAGCCAACTCCGTCTAACCAAACGTTAATCGATATTTATAATCATACAAGGATAAGCTACTGATATGTGATGAGTAGGAAAAGATGTGAACACATATACGCTCATATAAATGCAGTTAAGATGAATAGACTGACCTGTTTGAACGCTATAATAAGGCATATGGGCTTCACATAGTAACTGACACTACAGGGTTATCTTTACAAACTATTGAGAAGTCTCAAAAGTTGATGAATCAATTAGTCAATACTGTCTATTTACATCTCATTTTAAGATTATTTCATAATTGAAAGAAAATAATAACAGGGTACTACCACATATCTCTATAATTAAAATAATTTAGAGAATTCACTTGGTATTATTGTTTACTAGAATCTTTCCATTGATGTTTACGACTAAAATTGATCGATATTGCCTTGAGTCACAAGCATTATAAGCAGAGATGGATCGATAGTGACTAGCAGTGGAATTCACGACGAACGTTTCATCCCCAATTCACAAACAAGTGGCTATTAGGATTCAGTAGTTAAATGGATAACGTGATAGTGTTTTAAGAGAACGGTATAGGGTTCGAGTCTCAGAGTAAACATCAACTATGTGGATGTAGATACATCCATCTGATGAGTATCGGATAAGACGAAACGCGCGTCCTAGATTCTACTGCTAGCCACCATCCATCTTTGCTTACAATCTAGAGAATGTTTCTTTTGAGATATTTTTTGAAAAATTCAAATGATTAAATTAATATTTATTGTCAAAAGACGTTGTGCAGATTATTCGTCTGTATAGTTCACTTCATAGACTGGTTCTAGTTGGGTAACTACTCAATAGTAGAAAGCTAAAACATTTGACAAGAGATTGTAGGATCCAGAATTGAACTTATGAAGAGATCCTGAATATACATTGCTTTTAAAGTTCTACATATTTACTTACTTACTTACGCCTGTTACTCCTCGTGAAGGTGAGCATAGGCTGATCACCAACATTGTCCATCCAATCTTGTCCTGGGCAATCCTTTCCAGCTCTTTCCAGTTCTTATTCATCCTTTGTATATCCATTTCTATTTATCGACGTAATGTGTTCTTTGGTCTTCCTCTTTTCTTCTTCTCTTCAAGATTCCAAGTTAGCGCTTGTCTCGTAATGCAGTTTGATGATGTCCTCAATGTATGTCCTATCCATTTCCGTCGTCTTTTTCTAATTTCCTCTTCAGCTGAAATTTTAAGTCGTAGACTAGAACTAAATAGTTATCTAAAGCTTCTTGGTTTTCAATAATTCTCTAACAGAATTCAGTTGATGTTTAAAGTCAAATTCCCTAATTATTAACACTGAAATATTTTCAACAAGATATTATAATTTGCCTACTATTATTTCTAACAAAGAACCACCTTCCAGATGAGGAGGAAATTGGGAAACGATGTTGAAAGTGGATAGGTCATACATTGTGAAAATCATCAAGTTACATCACAAAGCAAGGGCTTATTTGGGATTCTGAATGGAAACGGAAGAAAGATCAAAGTATACATTAAGTCGAGCAGTGGACAGAGACATGAAAAGAATGAATACGAGCTGAAAAGAACTAGAAATAATTGATCAGAACAGAATTGAATGGAGAATGCTAATAGGTGGCATATGCTATTGGACGAGGTGTAAGTCAGTAACGTGTTTAACCTAAAATTCTATCAACCAATTTGATAATGAATAAATATGTTAGTGTTTAAACTAATATGCATATATTATCAGAACGGTTTTTTGTGGATACTATAATAACTTAATAGTTGAGTTCATAAGTTCAGTGAAGCTAGACCAATATGGATAATTTTAAAGTACTAGACGACTATTTCGTCCCACGGTGGGACTCCTCAGCAGTGTGCATTCACGGTCTCGCCCCACGTGATTTGAAACTTTGAACCTATCAGTTTCACGATTAATCGCTTAAACTCTAGACTATTGAGCTAGCCGCCATCCAACGATGTTATTTTCTAACTTCAACCAATCCACAAAGTTGTGCTACTGTCCACCATTGTCTTCAGTGAGTTACTATCTCACAACAGATCCGGTAGAACCACACTGGTTACTACTTCTAGCTAGAATTTAAGTAAATACCCCTTGAAACCAGTCACTAGTGAGAATATGTTGATTAATATCAGAAGCAGTTTTGTGAAGATTCTAAAAATTTCAATAGTTGACACCATGAGTCAATTAAAGGTAGACCACCATGGATAACCTGGAAGCACTAAAAAACCGATTCATCCTACTATTAGACTCCTCAGCAGTGTGAATTCACAGTCTCACACCAAACGGATTAGAAAACACACACCCTTCAGCTCCTTACGCAAACACTTAACCTCTAGACCATTGAGCTGACCGACATCTACCAGGGTTAATGTCTATCTTCAAACAATCCATATGTTCATAATAAGTTTATAAAAATTAATCCAAATTGATTTTTCTTTTTTTTCTTTTTGGAGCTAGCGAGCGAGTGAGCGAGAGAGAGAGAGAGAGAGAGAGAGGGAGACGGGTAATTTTCATTTCGAATAATCTAAGCTATTTGATTGGTACAAACTCTAATTGAAACTTGGTTGGTTTACTAAAATAAATCAAATAGAAAATAAAAAGAAAAAAGAAAAAAGAAGAAATAATTAAGGTAAATATAATACAATTTCAATCTTTATTCTATTTTCATTTATACTAAAGAAATAAAAAGAAAATAAAGAAAAAGAAAATAAAGAAAAAAGAAAAGAAAGGAGAAAAGAGAAAAAAAGAAAAAGAGAAAAGGAATAAAATGAAGACAATTTTCAAATATTTGGATATACATCATTTTTATTTTATTCCTTTTAATGAACAAACACATTGATGATTGTCATTTGAATGATATAAATAATTACGTCATCATTACGGAATTATCATTTGAATAGTGTAAATTCTACAAGTTTCTTCTTCTTTTTTTCTTTCTTTCTTTCTTTTGTTTTTCTCTCTTTTCTTTTTTCTCTTTTTTTTTCATGTCAATGAGTGAATTATCAAATGAAATCAATTTGGTTCCTAAAAATGATGATGATAATGATGATGATAATGATGATACAATGAAATCAAATGATTATTTAAATGGATTAACGATATCAAATTGTACACAAGATATTCATACAGAATTATCAACTCCATTATTAATGATAACTAGTCCAAATAATATGATTATTTATGATAAACATGATCAGGATCAGGATCAACATCTTGATCACGATCATGATCATGATCATGATCAACAGCAGCAGCAACAACAACAACAACAACAACAACGACAACAGCAACATGTAACTAAGGATAATCAAAAAAATCAATTAACTGTAAATAAACAACATTTATATTGTATAGATCCATCTATGAATTATTTCAATACTAATAACAATAATAATAATAATAATAGACGATATAGTGATCAAGGTAGTAGATTATGTAATAAACAAACTAATCTATCATCAATATATAAACGACAAAGTCTATTTAATATTAATACAAATCATCATTCTAATCATTCTAATCACCCTGATCATCATCAATATCCTCATCACCATCATGAGTTGTATAAGACCCGTTTATATCCACCGACAAGATTCAAGAATTCATCTACATCTAATGTTGATTTATTAGCTGAAGCCATATTGAAAATGCAAGGTACATTGAATTGTAAGTTTTCAATATTGATATATATATATTTAGTTTCATAATCATTTAATGAATAGTGATAAGGTAATGGAATTCTAGAATGAGCATTTCGTCCTAGTTAAGATTCTTCAGTTAGATGATGTTTTTATATTCATATTGAAGCTTACAACCAGTACTCGTTTTCTGAAACACTCAAAATACAGATATACATACTTTGTTTATAAGCAATGATGGATAGTAGTTAGTAGTGGAATCGATGTAGCATGCTTTGTCTTATTTGAGATTGGTTAGCTGAATGTACCTGAATCTTAGATGTGTTGATGTTCATTCTGGAACTCGAACCCAGTATTGTTTGCTTCAAATACCATTGGTTTATCCACTTAGCTACTGAGTCCTGATAGCTAGTTGTTTATGTAAGAAGATTCCATTACTAGCCAATATACATCTTTACTCAAATTACTTATGAATTAAGGTAATATTGAGGTGATATACACAGTATACACACATGTCAATAACAGAGAGAGAGAGAGAGAGACTGATCAATTACAATCCTAAACATAAATGAGAAGATTCAAGTAGAACAACAATTCCAAGTGAATTTTCAGAATGAATAATATTTAGAATTAAATAGGAAGATGAAGTGAATACCTTACTGTTATGAATAAGAACACAAGTGTGAGACAATCAAATGGAGTTGAATACAACAGTACAGAATATAATGGTAAAACCTGAGAACCATATAGTAGATGTCAATCAATTGTCTCATATTTGATTATTCTTTCGTTTCTACATCAATCGTATTCTGTTCTTATTCGCTTCTTTTCGATCTTGTTAACCCTTTACCGCCAAGCATTTTACTTTCAATTGATGACACATACTACTTATATCTGTCGACATCAGTAGCACATTACCATAAAACTATTCGAATTTTAAGCTGCTTTACAGTATCACTACCTTTCACTTGCACATATATAAGCAACTTAACTATGAGTAGTGACAGTAAGCAATTTATTATGAAATAATGAAGAATTTTATTATCAAATCTTAGTAATACCGAAGACAGTGGTAATGTTGAAAATGGTAATCGTACATTAACCTCCAGGAAAACGATATAATTCAAGTCGAAATTGATTACCATATAGCACTATTGTTAATAATTTATTAGTTGAATTCATGATTCAATCAAAGCTAGATCACCATGGAAAACCTGAAATCACTGGACGGCCGTTTCGTTTTATTGTGGCATTACTCAGCAGTGCGCATCCATGATCCCGCCTCGTAAGATTCAAATTTTGGGACTTATCTGTCTCGCGCGCGAGCGCCTAACCATTAGACCACTAAACTATCTGGCATCCAATGGTGTTAATGTTTAACTTCAACCGATCCACGAGTTTGCGCCACTGTTCATCAATGTCATCAGTGAGTTATTATCTCATTTCAGTGGACTAATGGTTAAGCGCCCGCGTGCGAGATCGATAAGACCTAGGTTCGAGGTGGAATCGTGGATACGCACTGTTGAAGAGTCGTCTAGTTTTACCAAGTTTTCCATGGTGGTATAGCTTCAATTGACACTTGATCTCAACTATCGAAAGTTTGATTTGAATTTTGTTCAGATTGACTTCTATGACTAATTCAATGTTTCATATCAATATTGTTAACGTATCATTGAATCTATTGAGTGGTAGAAATATTACATTAGAAATTATGTATGTTTCTAACTGCAGTATAAACTTACTTCTACGTGTTACTCCTTGTGGAATTGCATAGTCTACTCATCAGTATTCTCTATTGAACTCATTACTTATTAATCCTTTCCAATGGTTATCAGTGTAAACTCTATAACAAATATAGGTAAATAGATCAACCCTTTAGTGTGTAAGATTCCAGTCGTAGCGAATAACATTTCAACCATTTGTTTACTTTGAAAGATAATCTTCTTTGAAATCTCGTTATTGTCTTGTATTTTTATAGAATTGTAACTGATTATAATAAACAGATAGAATTAGGTAAAATGAAAGCTGACAGCTATATGTATAACACGTTATTACGTTGAAGTACTTACTGGAAGCATTTCAAATAGTTCTGTTAAGAAATATTTAGAGTATTATCCCTTTGAAAGATGATTTATCATATTGAAATTACTCAAATATTCTTTGTACGATGAGACTATAATTTATGAACGAGCTTTGAGCAACAGTAAAATGATCTTGGAATGTTCACCTTCTTATCAGTGTTAAATGTGGGTTATGGGATTAGGATTTATAGTTGATGGTTAGTGTTAAGAACTACATTTAAGGTTTTCATCATGAACTGATAGTAGCTATAATGCCAAAACTCTGTTTATCCGAATGAATGGATGAATTTCACGCCAAAATTCAAGATCTACTATCCTAAATGTGATTGGTTCGTCCATGAATTATAGTCTCACCCATTGTAGTTTTAAAGTGCTCAGTGTTACGTTGGATTGAGTTTTGTTCTCTAAGCTGGATGGTTTAGTCATGGAGCTTTCATTGTTCTTCTATAAGAAATCATCAAACTTATACACCTGAGCGAAAACATCTTCTCCACCATTTATTATGTTATTTTCTTTGTACAAACTATGTTTCAATTAAACTGTGAATCATATTAGCATTTATAGGGACTGACAGTTATACAGTTCATGAATTATTGAAAATTGCTTTATTCAGGTAATTTGATCAGACGAAAAATGAGGTCGAACAGAGATTCCTAACGACTAACTTGAACTGACTCTATTGAAATTGTATTATTCAAGATAGACGAATAAAATCTTCAGGCATTTCATTGTCTTTGTGTTGATGATGATGATGATGATGATGATGATTTGGATGATGATGATGATGTTGATGATGATGATGTAGAGAAAGTCGTTGAAAGCTACATGAATAAACTACTTATCTTAATGAATATGATTTTAACAAAGTGATCTTCGTGAATTTCAAAACTCCCGTTATCATCTTAGAATTTAACTGAGTAACTCTTTTTGATCATAGTGAATACATTATACGATAGTAAATAGAATTACATTTGGTTAGTATTTCCCTGTTTTTCGACTATGATTTAATGTACTCGATAATACATAAACACTTTGATTACAGCTGAACAGTTCTAATTGATGGATATTGATCTTAAAAGTATTTCGTTTTAGATGGTGGTTAGAGGTAATCAACATCACCATCTTATCTCAACATAGTGCACGCAATGTCAAGTCAATTAGACTAGTGCCTACATTTTAACGTGATTGATAGGAATCGATTTGCACTAAGAAGGATCTGACATATATGACATTGATTACCACCCAATGATTAATCAATTGTAAATACATTTTATTCCTACAAGAGGTCGGTCGCGGCCCGGATACCTCAATGATAATGTCTCTGACTGTGAGGCTAGGTGATACAGGATCGAATCCTTTCAATATTTCATCATTATGATACCATTTAATTTGTTAACAATGTAGTTTATTTTAGTTATGTTTACATAGTTGTCTACTTGGAGATGTAATTAAGTTTCATAACACAGAATGATCGTAATTAGACACCGATTGAATATCAGAGAGGATTAAACAACGATTTTGTCTTATGATAGAATGTTGGCTAAGCAATACATATCTACTATTCCTTACAAGGAATCCGAACTTTTAGGTTTAACAGTAAGCACTTTAATTGAAATCAATGATCTGATATTTGGTGGTTTTACATGTCTAATTTGAATTATTTCACAAGATTTTGGAACCACCATGAAATTTGTCTAATTTTATGGTCATAATATGGTACATCATTGGAATATATATGATGTCTGAAATGACTTCAGTGATAGTTTTTAAACTATATATGCTATATGAGTATCTATTAGAATGAAAACTTTTAATCTCTCCTATATAGAATTTGTTCAATGGATATACTTGAATTTGATTGTTGATACTGGAACTGAATTCGAATCTGTTGTAGGTAATGAGAACACAAGTGGAACTAATCGAATGTACTTGAACAGAAAATTATAGACCATCTTAGTAAAAATGTGAGAAGTATAGAATGAATAGTTCAATTACAAAATATCAATCCATCGTCTCAGACTTCATTAATCCTTTATTCACACACTAATCATTCTGTGTTCTTGTTTTGTTCTCTTCGATCTACTTAATCTTCTAGCGCTAGGTATTTCACTTTCGATTGATGATACATACTACTGATATCTATTGACATCAGTAGCATACATACAGTAGTAGTAGCAATGTTTCAAAGAGGAAACTTCATGGGAACAAGTGATTTATGGGTGGTTACAGGGTAAAACACTTCATTAATCCCCTTACCCTATAAACACATAATCATTGATATATATAGAGAAAATTAGAATAAAATATGAGTTATGAGTTAAAAATCTAATTTTTCAGACGAACTTTTATACATCTCTTATCATACCTACGTGTAATGAACAACAGTATCAAATGGGGACAATCGAATGTACTTGAACACAAACATACAGAATCACTTAGTAAAATCTAAGAACCATTCAGTAACTACTTCATATGCAACATGTTAGTCAATCGTTCAAAACTTGATTGTTCCTACGTCTTCACCACAATCCTTCTCTGTTCTCGTTCACTTCTCTTCAATCTTGTTAACCTTCTCTGCCTCCAGACAATTCACTTTCGAATAATGATATATACTACTTATATCTGTCAACATCAGTAGTACACACCACAAGTTTTCTTGATAACAGTAGTTCATATGGTCTATTCAATAAAAACATTCAACTAAAGAATAAAGAACAAATGGTTAATACCAGGTATGGTTCCACTATAATAATAATAATAATAATAATAATAATAATAATAATATTACAAACAATATAATATTGATTTCTCCTAGAATTGAAAGAAAAATACTCATCTTGAATAGATCTTGTGTGTGTGTGTGTGTGTGTGTGTGTGTGTGTGTGTGTGTGGGTAAACCGAATTCAATCGATTATCTATGTCTTCTCATTATTACGTAATAGATAGA